GAATTTGAATATGGCTGTTTCAGACAAAACTATTTTATATAGCATGTTTAATAACCTGATAACAACTTGAAGGTAAGATTTAAAAATATACTTTGGAATTTGAATATGGCTGTTTCAGACAAAACTATTTTATATAGCATGTTTAATAACCTGATAACAACTTGAAGGTAAGATTTAAAAATATACTTTGGAACTTGAATATGGCTGTTTCAGACAAAACTCTTTTATATAGCATGTTTAATAACCTGATAACAGCTTGAAGGTAAGATTTAAAAATATACTTTGGAACTTGAATATGGCTGTTTCAGACAAAACTCTTTTATATAGCATGTTTAATAACCTGATAACAGCTTGAAGGTAAGATTTAAAAATATACTTTGGAACTTGAATATGGCTGTTTCAGACAAAACTCTTTCATGCTCCCAGTAATGGGCGAAGATCACCTAAAAGAATCACTCTTGTATCAAGCTAATATTTACTTGTACTTCAGAATGATTTACAAGCGTACAAAGAAACGAGTTGTGGTCCACGTCAGTACATTTAATACATCATTTAAATCATCTCAAACGTAGCCAGGTATGAACTTAATCTGCTTAATCCACTTTTTAAGAGACTTAAATGAGAAACAGACACTTTCAAGATACCTGTATCTTAGTCCACCCATACATGGATGGCGTGAACTGGTGCACGGCTATTTTAATCAATCATTGTTGCATAAGTTTTCCATCCATAATGTCTATAACAAGCTCTAAAATATTAACCTATCCCAATCACTTCACGTTACACATGCAGTCGTATAAGATGTACATGATCTGCTTTAATATACGTCTTTGGCTTGAAAACAGCTTCTTGAACTAGACATGGAATATGCTGATCATGTTGGGGGGAGGGCGAGATGAGTGAAAGTGGCAAGGTTAGTGGTGGGTCAAACGCTGTCATCAAGAACAGTACAACTCCAGCTTTAAAGATGCCACCAAATGGACCGTTTACTATGTGTCCCTTGGGGGAGCAAAGAAGGGGTGGTTGATAAGATTGATTGCACTTAAGGGATTGTGAATACTTGAGCATTATCGTTTCTGAGCCTAATTCCGGGTGAGTGGGCATTTATGAGTAGCGAAAGTCAACACAATTACATATACTCACTGCACCGTTAAAACATTCCACGTATTTGATAATATTTTACAAACCCTCATTTTCTTTCGCTAATAATTCAACATAGCTATTGTGAGCAGTATATAAGTGGTACAGTTGTTATTGAAGTTTGTCAGCATTAATCAAGTAGAAAACGTGTAACCTTAAGCATTGACCTTCGAAACGACAACCTATAAATACTTGCTAACTAACCACACTATGGCAGTTTAAAAAAATTATCAATTAAAGATATGTTTTTACTTATAAAACACAAAACTCACTCAAAACTATAATCACCGCTGTGCTTTAACGTTAATCAAACATATATACATATATATATATATATAGAAACAAGCGCCACAAACTTTTCCTTAATATGTTTCTTTAATAGAGCATGGATATTTACTGAATTGATATTTTGGTAGTTTTCTAAATCACCGTGAAGTTGCTATGTTTACATTCATAGCTCATTATTTTTAAATGAAGCAAACGCAATAGTTTTAGAACTGTTTTCCTTATCTACTACATTTGGTTGTCCATTTTAACACCAAGGATGTATGGCTGTGTTTAAACAAAGCACGTTAGGTTTAACGCTGAGTAATCAATTAATATTAACTCGTTACTTATAAAGATTGAGGTGCATTGTTTCATCACCTTGGTAATATTGCGTGCAATGCCAGTGCTATTTCTAACTTGGCTTAATCGAGAAGATATTATTTTGAAAATCAATACACGGCTCCAGCTTCGTGTTGGTGTTTCCACACAGGCCTATAACCGTAGCTCATTTGATAATAATTTGACAGTTCTGGAGGTTTGAGCCCGTAGTTCAGAATAAGCTAGAAAAAGTGAGAGTATTACCACTCCGTAAAAACGGGTCGTGGCTGTATTTATATCCTTATATCTAAGGGACGTTTTAATATATCATCAGTTACAGCGTGGGAAATGTGGCAAACTATATACATAGGTAAATCCAAATATAATATTGAAACTATCGAGTCTTAAAGGAGAAGGGAAAATTATACAAATCAGGTTTACTGTGTTTCTTGGTGAATATTTATATATGTTTTATTAACACATGTTTATTGTGTTTGAATAGGGGAGAAGCCTTTTAAGTGTGATTTCGAGGGTTGTGATCGAAGGTTTGCTAACAGCTCCGACCGGAAGAAGCACTCTCATGTGCACACAAGTGACAAACCTTACAACTGTAAGATCCGAGGTTGCGACAAAAGCTACACACACCCAAGTTCGCTACGAAAGCACATGAAGGTGCATGGCAAGTCTCCGCAGCCACCTGGTACAGCGCCGGATTCCACAGGCAGTAACAGCTCTATGTCCGACTACGACAGCGACTCTCAAACTTGCGCCACAACAAACGGGAACAACGTCAACGGCAACGCGTTAGTCGGATCCCAGCCTACAGCCTCGGTGCTGGGTTCAGGTCTACACGGTCACACGACGCTACCCTTCACTGCAAACCCCGGACTTGGAGGGAGTGGAGGCCACCCGACTAACCTAAGTGAATGGTACGTGTGTCATTCTGTAGCAGGTATGCCCACTCCCCCTAGCAATGAACACTCACCCGTGGTTGGAATGACTCATCACCTTCATGGGTCTCCTCCCTACTGACCCAGGTAGTCTCAGGTTCATTTCGGACAGCAAATGTACAAAGACTGTGAACTAAAATCAATTATTGCTTGAGTAATCACGAACATGGACAACTACGTGTAGATATTAAGCAGACTCTCTAGACTGAATAACCGTGTTCCAGTTCTTTCAAAGAGAGTCACAAATGTTAGGCTTATCGTAGGTTTTTTTTTGTTTTAAGTCGGACCTCATTTTAATTAAGCATTGCCTTTGGTCATGTGAACCATAAATAATTATTGTACAGAAATGTAATTGTGATTAAACAGTGAACAATGTTCATGTACGATTTGTAAAAGTTTCGATTTAATGTTCTAGCACGTGAATATAAGGTTTCATCGAAGTGATTTACAAAGAAAAATATATAATAAATATCCACTAACATTTGAAGATTTCCACCATTCCTTCTAAGATAGCTTTTCTTATCAGCAGTTTTATTGAATTTCAGTAACAACGAAGTAACAAAAACTCGTGAATAATAAAAAAATCTTACTTTAGTTTGGTACTATTTTTTCTTTTCTAAAGAGTATATACTTAGCATCAAGTTCATAAAACTATATTAGGGCAAATATATATTGTATTAAGGTTTTAAAATACTTTACAAAGCATCCTTGCCCTTTTTGTTTTGATAATTAGTCTATCCATTCACAAATCATATCATTATATTAAAATCATTAAGCATGAAAAATGGCTCTTTTTTTTCAATCGATAAGAACGATTCCATAATTTACTTTTAGTTTTCTTTTTAGCAGCGTGCAGTAACATAATATAGAGTAGAAGCTCATGGTTGTGAAAAGATGGATCGTATGCTGACAAATCAACTAACATAAATATTCGAAAGAGGTTTTTTCATGTGTCATTCTCAAAATATAACAGAGAACATGGCAATCTGTTATTACACGTTACGTTTTAAATATGCCAAAATAGCTTCGTTGATTGACTTCTAATTTTTTGATGTTCTAGTTTCTATTTTACAACAACCTCATTACTGATCTCTGTGTATTATTGGGGTGTATAGTATTCTTTATTTTTTTGTTATAGAAGTTGTTGGTTTCATTGTTTTGATACCGTGTTTAGTGCCATAAAAACGCCAGATAACGATCTCCAAACTATTAACGATATTATCCAAAAACCACAAATTACAAAATCAAAAAATTTTGAACATACAGAAATACATAGTTTTTTTCTGGTAGGTAGAAAGAACCAAGATTGACATAGGAAGGGATATTTTTATTTTATTTTTTATATTTTCGGATATGACGAACTACTACTGCAGATTACTCAGAGGTTATTGTTAAAAATATTCATTGTTATTATTTTGACTTACACAATACAAAAGTAACTTTTGACAGCATTTGAAACGTATAACTGACAGAGGTTCATTAAAACCAGTTTACACCTTGCAATGTAGGGGAAATGAGGGTAGACTTACAGTCCTGTGTGATTTTTTGATGAAGCTATATAAATGACAAGATGTAATCTTCCTAACTACAACCTTCCATATGTTCTTTTCTATAGAAGTGTTTACACTGGATTACCATACATGGATGAATGAAAGTTTAATGATCTCCGGGAGCAAACAGGTGGTTCTAAGTAGATGGGGGAAATAATCATGCTGTTGTGGACTGAACTTAAGAGGCTGGTAGAGGTTTTTACACCACATTTAAAGGTGTAACCATTGTTAACTAAGGGCCAATTTAAACGCTTATGGATCATCAGGAAACATCAGGTAATAATCCTGTCTGTTTTCGAATTGCGTACTTCAACGTGAACGCGAATAAACGTGTATATAACGCAACTTATCTATGGCTGTTATATCTGTTTATCGATTGTACCAGTAGCATCACAAAAAGACAGTCTGTTGACATTTTACTAAAACAGTAGTCTTCAGGCACGATATTCCTAATCGGCCCATTACGCGTTTTCAATTATGTTCAGAATCAACAGGTCATACGTACATTTATTACTGTAACAACTTAGCATGTACAGTTTTTACAATAATAAACATCGTGTACTGCCATGTATCCTTCTTAACAAAATACCAAATTTTCCTTGTAATAGATAAAGCTATAGGTATGTGTAATTTGTCTATTCATTAACATTATTTAGAGAGACAAAAATTAGGAGTTTTTGTACAGTATAATGTGTAATGAATAGCATCAGTATTGGGGCAATTACTAAACGCTTCAAATCATAACTGTACTTGTTAAAACAAGTTAAAATCATGACTACAGAAATATGGAACTATTCTACTAGTTCATTTCATATTTGTGATTAAGCCAAAAAATAATAATATTTGAATTAAAAACTTACAATGCAGGTTCTCTTGAAATCTTTATACCCAACACACGACTATCTTGGAATGGTTCTAAATGTCGTGTTAAGCAGTCCACTTTAGTTATTCTCAAACTGAGAATTAATAAATATGGAATAATAAATACATACAAACACTTTACTCACATGTGAGTAGTTTCCTCTGCCGTTTTAAACCAACGTAGTTCATAACAGATAACCATAAATATCGTAACCGTGTTTAAAATTTTTATGAGGAGACTGTTACATTACATTAGTGTTGGGCACGTAAGAGTAGCAAAATTTACTTATGATAAATACAAAAAATACTATATACTTTTTTTCATAAAGATGTTTAAAAATTGTTTAAATCCAAAGCATTTTATGACTGTTAAAAAAAAAATCACATTTATCATGTATTTGAAGACTCCCCATTATGGGATTTATCTCATCAGGTTTTAGAGAGACAATACATTACAAATACACTGGTACTTTAGGTGTGTACAAGTGTTAACAACGACGATTATATCAGGTAAAATTTGTTTCACTGACATCGAAAATTGCTGGTATTGGGCGAAAGGCCTCGTCAGCACCGGATATAGAAGATATAGTGTGGTATTTACTTTCACTCAGAAGTTATTATTAATAAGTACGTGCTATCTTATCTCGAACTGTAAGTTTGCGGCTGAGCTAAAGATAGTTCCACATCGTCTGCATTTGGCCACCAGATGGTTAAGTCTTTAAAAATGGCGGAGGTATAAATCTTACCATCTGTGTTTTTATTGTATGTAGACAGAAAGATGATCAAGTTTTCAACAGTGGCGAACAAACACACATCTAAAGTCATTAATCTCTTAAAACAAATCAAACCCAAGAGTTCACACGTACAAACACCACACACGCGTAAGTTGGATTTTATTTATTGTCTCTCAAGATCTCTGTTTATCTAGCTTTCCGGTCGTTCCTTTATCTTCTTCACGTCATAAGGAAGCGCCTTACTCTCAAGTTAGAGTTAAGACTCGAAGTAAACAACCAGAGAGGGGGGTATAATGTAGTTTGTATTTATATAATTGCATATTTCTCTTTAATTGGCGTGGGTTAAAAAAAGAAAAATTGTTTGCGGTCGCATCGAAATATGTGCACCGTAGTGAAAACTAAATATTTTGTAATTAGATGAAAAAAAAAAATGTTTTGAACAGCATCGCTTAGTAGCAATCCACTATACATCCAAAGTAGTCTTAAGTCATAAGATATTTTACGCAATTATAAAATGTTAATGAAAGTACGGGACTTCTCGAGCTCTAACAAATTAAAGAGCAAGGTTCACGCAAAATTTGGCGTGAGAATAAATGCACGCGTGTAGGAGGGCCATCCTCACGTGCGAAGGTTTCAGATTTGTAGTACAAGTGGTGTGCGTTTTCACTGGCCTGCCATAAATCGTTCAAAAGTGCTTGGCGCGAAATAGCGCGTTCCCTCTTTTCGCTGAGGAATTCGGGGTTATATTTTATGGCGCGCGGAAACGGAACTTCACTGCCGCTATAAATTGATAGTCGTCTAATTAGGTATCGTTGTAGCCTAGAGAGAACGAATCGAATTCATTAGCGTTATCAGAAAGGCTAATTGTCTCTGGTTTTTCAGTGTGAAAGTCGTTAGCTCACGATGCAACTACTTGGCTTCTTATTCTCATGCTTAACCAATGATGGCGTCAATTTGGCCGGCCCTAATGCTTTAATCCATTCGAACTTAACATACCAGCCTTTGTGATCAGTCACTTCAGTAAAACTGTTCCTCTATGGTATAAAACATCAAGGATCTGACTAAGTCAAAGTCTTGTGACATATAACTGTGATTGACGTTATCGCCTGTTTAAGATGCTAGAGGGTATTTTTCAATGCTATATGATATTTACTCTATAACTTACGAGTTACAGAAACTCTGTAACACGTTTGGGATACACCAGTTCGATAGTTTAGACCAACTAAGCCTAGACTGTTCTAGTGTTCGAATAAAAAACTCGAGAACCCTACATAAAGTATTGGGTTGGACAGGATGAAGTCCTAAACGAAATATTGAATCATTTTTCTCAGCTTCTGTATGTAATTAATTCTTTACTACGTGTATTACATAACAGGAAATTTCTCGGGCATATACAAAGGTTTGTGGTCATAGTTATTCAAATATATACAATTATCTCAGAAAATACTGCTTTGGCTAGTGTTTTAAGGAGAATATATGAGCTGAAGTCCTGAAAGACCGTCTCGTGGACTCCAATTTGGGAGCCATTGCTCTGTTTACTTAATAGTTACAATTTATCTAAGCAGTAACGATGTATATTACGCTCATCGTTTCAAACAGTACATTGGTTTGTAATTACACCGCTTCCTGTAAATGTAATATGAATATTCTGCTAACCACTAGAGGTAAAGTGTGTACATTACCTAGTTCATTGGTATAAAGAAAAATAACGAAATCATAGTCCAATTATATATAAATATATCTGAAGAAAACTTTCAGAGGGATTATGTTTAGTATAGTATAATATCGTATAGAACTGGTTTAGTATAGTATAATATCGTATAGAACTGGTTTAATATAGTATAATACCGTATAGAACTGGTTTAGTATAGTATAATATCGTATAGAACTGGTTTAATATAGTATAATACCGTATAGAACTGGTTTAGTATAGTATAATATCGTATAGAACTGGTTTAATATAGTATAATACCGTATAGAACTGGTTTAGTATAGTATAATACCGTATAGAACTGGTTTAGTATAGTATAATATCGTATAGAACTGGTTTAATATAGTATAATACCGTATAGAACTGGTTTGGAAAAACTTGTCTTCTATCTTTATAAAATCGCTTGCCAATCGAGAACACAGATAGTAACATTAGTTAAAGAAACAACTGAGGCATATCTTTAGTTTTATCCATCAGAGGGGGTGCC